TTATATATTACATGTATTTCTTCACTCCGCTGTTCCAACACATAACATTTCTATATTCATCGCTTCATCTATATCTTTTCCGCGTACATTACGCACGAATTCAGGTGGCGTTCTAGTTCACTTGATTAGAGGTCTGCACAGCTATCACAGCGGTCGGGGTTCGAATCCCGCTAAGCCAAGCCAGCTTAGCTTTCTTTACGCAACTGCGTCGTTAACTGCAATGATCGTCCATGCATTTATTCAAAACTCATTTCACTTTCTTACTAAACAATGATAATTGTTTCTAATTGTTCTGATGGCTACAGGCAGGTCATTCCATAAATGCATGATACCATTAAGAAATGAACATTTGAAAACATGTTCAGTTTTAAAAAGTGACTTCTGTATTTTTAATATCCTATAATTTAAAGGTCCATTAAACCAAAAGTTTGACATTACTTTTTTCAGTCCAATTTTAGTGAAATGTGTTTGAAATGAACCAAATAAACATAATATGAAGTTTCAGCTCAATTGAAGCAAGCATCCTCGAGATATTGCTGTTTTATTGCCTCTTTTCTTCGTAGAGCGGTTGGAGATTGTACGATATAACAGAGTAAAATTGCCTTGAAACTCGAGAGGCAAAAGACCTATAGGTTAGCTAAACTTGTAGGATAAGAAGAAACGACTGTTTAAAAAGCCGCCGTTCAAAGTTGATACCGGCAGAATAATGGACTCCTTCGATGGAGGAAATTCTTGTTTTCCTAGGCGGAGATGAGAATGTTTTTTGGATCTTAAGCAAGAGATGGGACTTCTTTTCTCTAATGAAAACAAATTCGCCATTACACCTCATTAACTCAAGAATAGAATGAGGAAATGACAAAGTGCCACTGAATGAATCCGCCGACAACTTGAATCATCACTTCAAACAATTTTTTTGAATGTTGTTTGCTGTTAAAAACGGACTTGAAAACTCACAAATGATTGGGAGAGAAGGAAAATGAAACAACGTCAGAGTGATGGTCTTAGGACGTTGTTGCCAAACGAGCTATTCCGTTTAAAGCAAAAATAAAGGGCAGCGGATGCGCTTAAAACAAGAATTATGCAAAATAAGCGGTTCCTTTTTCCAGCTTGTATATCAACGTGATGGATCAGTCTACTCAACAAAATCGGCCTTCCCTATATTTTTCTCTCCATTTGTGTCTTTCATTTAAGCGCGCATTTTTAACCCTTGTAAATCTAAACTATTCTCTCCATAAACCCTCTCACAATGTCACAGTGGTAGTTACTAGTGACTAGTATTCAATTTACTGTCTTCGCTAACAGGCAGTCCATGAATTATCAAAGTTTTCGCGAATTCTCCGAAAAGGCAGAAATTTAGACTTACCCATGCAGTAAATTATCTGGAACTACTGATGTCTCGCACCGCTAAATGTGATATATCAACCCTAAAATTTGTAATAAATTCTAACGTTAAATGAAATTAATGGACTCTAATGAATGTAATAACATACACTATTATAGTCGCAATAACAAATAGTATGATTGTTCTTCAAATGTCTCTTTCCTCCGTTTTGACGAACCTTTATCAGTTTCTGGCCAAACAGTAATTTTTTGAGCTGGCAACTCCTTTAAGCAGCCTTTATCTTTTCATCCCCAAAATCGCTTCTTTTCAAAGCCGAGTTTTATTTCCTGATTGAACTAAAATATCGGCGGCAACGGAAGACCCAAGACTGAAAAAAAGATCAAAAGGTAAGCGGCAGCATAAAAGGAATGTAGTTAAAACACAGGTAACCCAGGCTCTGTGATAGTACCACAGTACTGTTCGAGTAAAATTACAGTGTTTGTATGGGATAAAAATACCATCCTAAAATTTCTAGGAAATACTAAATAAAGATCAATGAAACTTACTCTGCAGTTAACTGTTGTTGTCCTTATTGCTCCAACGAAGTTTCGTGATAATTTGCAGTAATTTGTTCAAATTCACTCTATATACAATAATAATATACAAGGTAGGAAACACGAGATGCCATTTTCGCCGACATGCTCTCATTCAACACAGCTTTTTCCACGAAATTCGAACTCCAACGGAAAATAAACATGCCAGGATCGTAGAAATAGGATAGCAGCAGATATAGAAACCAATGAAGCTTTCCCAGATAGAGAAACGAATCCCACAGACTTTGACAAACTCGAAGGATATAATCCAAACAGACCGAGAATATGCTCGCCGAAGCAGCCGGGCCAGATCAACGCGCGGCCAAGAAAATGAGGCCTGGGCACTGTACAAAAAAAATCCATCCCGGGAGTCCTGAGGTGACCTTTCTGGGGACCGATACATCATTTGCCCAAAGCCACCCTACCCCGCTGAAAAAAATACTTGATAGAAGGCAATTGTTCTTCCTAGCCTTACCACCCTGGCCTGTTATAAAGATATTATGTCCCTCTCGAACTATATTCAGCGCCTGGCACTGGTCCTCAGAAAGTCTATCAAACATAAAAAGGGCAAGGTTATAAGGGCAAAGGAAATAACAACGAAGGGGATTTACAAAACTTAAAACGAGCAAAAGTTATCAGTGAATTTTGGCTCTTACCGCGGCATTTGTACAACAGGACCAAATTCAAAGAGAGGTGTCACGATGGTTCACATGTTTAACTGATAGAAAGTCCAGTTGTATTGACAAGAAGTCGGCGTGTTACGACTGCATTAATCGCTAAATATGTTAATCGTGCTAGTTCTTTGTTTCACATTCGTCTCAGTCACCGCAATTCATATTCTTTTGGAATTTTCTGTATAATTTTTGACATTATTTTGTAAGCTTCACCGTTTATTTACGATCGTTTCTCTCGAGAGTTCACAGCAACAGTATCTCAGTCATCATCTACCTCTTGTTCAACCTCGTTTTTAGCCCGCCTTGTAATTATTTCGCATTATAATTTGATAGTTTCATTACTGTTGTTTGCGTTCCTTAGTAAAAGAAATAGGGCGTCTTGTAACTCGGCAGACTATCTTGGTTTTATTTATTTTTTTAGCCATTTAAATTTAGGCGCGTGTGCGGGGTTTGCTCTGGCGAATTGTGATTGGCTAGGAAGAACAATTGCCTTCTATCAAGTATTTTTTCAGCGGGCAGGGTGGCTTTGGGCAAACGATGTATTGGTCTCCAGAAAGGTCACCCCAGGACTCCCGGGATGGATTTTTTTGTACAGTGCCCAGGCCTCATTGTCTTGGCCGCGCGTTGATCTGGCCCGGCTGCTTCGGCGAGCATATTCTTGGCCTGTTTGGATTACATCCTTCGAGTTTGTTAAAGTCTGTGGGATTCATTTCTCTATCTGGCAAAGCTTCATTGGTTTTTATATCTGCTGCCATCCTATTTCTACGATCCTGGCATGTTTATTTTCCGTTGGAGTTCGAATTTCGTGGAAAAAGTTGTGTTGAATGAGAGCATGTCGGCGAAAATGGCATCTCGTGTCTCCTACCTTGTATATTATTATTGTATATAGAGTGAATTTGAACAAATTACTGCAAATTATCACGCAACTTCGTTGGAGCAATAAGGACAACAACAATTAACTGCAGAGTAAGTTTCATTGATCTTTATTTAGTATTTCCTAGAAATTTAAGAATCGTATTTTTACCCCATACAAACACTGTAATTTTACTGGAACTGTTCTGTGGTACTATCACAGAGCCTGGGTTACCTGTGGCAGAACATTTTTATTAACCACCAAAATAGTAATTTTATTTTATTACCTGTGAAATTCAGCAAAACCACGAACAGGTGATATATTTCAAGAAGTTTCATTGCATGTAGTGGCCATATCACAACAAAGACTGACCACAGACCACGTAGAGGAGACCAAAGAGCCACAAACTTATTAACCAAGCTGTTTACATTTATCATGTAGATTTCTCACCCTTGATAGACTTTTTCTTTGCAACACAATTTGTACTTAAAAAATTTTGGATGTTCACAGTTGTTTGAGTTTGACAGTGACTTGTTTTCTTATTTTCTTTCTTTTTAAATTACTTTTCATAGCAGGTTCTCCCAGCATCTTGATGCGAGCCCCTTTCTCAGGCGAACTATCCACTTTCTCCCATGCTTATTTGCCTCATCCTAAAAAGACATATTTTGTAAAGAACACATGATAATGGAGGGCAACTTTAATATTCAACTCTTAACGAATCCAGAATTTAATTTTGTTCCATTTTTGTATGTTACATTCCTATGCATTGCTTAGGGTAACATTTTCATGTGTTGTCAGTACTGTATCTCGTAGTAAGTATTATGTAACCTCACGTTGCATGTTCTTAGACAAGAAGACCATGCTTGAAATTTGGCTTAATCCTGGGTTAAACTTTACCATCTTTCAAGGAACCAGACACTGGGCACCTGGGTAATCCCTGCATTAACAATATGTGGGTTGAGTTTATTGCTGGTGCTACTTGCTCCTGCTGGGAGTCCTGTTTTACCCCTCCTCAAAAATGACAGGGCTGTGGTGTAGGAGAGTGGGGTGGTCCCTAGTGCCTCACTTTGGCTCTTGGGTGAGTAGAAAATCTTTCTTTTTTCTTCCTCTGCTGGTTACCCTAGATTTCACAGGTTCAGAGCACTGTGCTCCCTTCAATTTTTCTTAGTTGTATAACAGCTGCTGTGTAGCCATGTAACTATAAAAACAGAGTACTTTTTGGTGGTAAATTATAAAATATTACATTGTACAGTTCTGGCTCCTCAGGAAGGTGCTCCATCTTTTTGAAGAATTCAAAAAGATAACCTACCTACCACATAGGTTTGATGCCATCCTTAAACAAGTGAATGTCGCTGTGTCCAGTTAAGTCACCAGGCCTGACCAGGTAGCTGTAAAAACCCTAAAACTGTTCTACCTGGGTGGTGAACAAAAAAAAAGAAAAAATCCCATTACACTCTTCTAATTATTAGAATAAGGCAATCCAGGGATCTATTCAAAGAAAAACTTACTGATGCAAATTTTCCAACAAGCTTAATGTTGTCAGCATAGTTATTGGATGCCTAAGGCTTGCCTTGAGGTCTTCGTGAAAACCAAAATGCATGCGGACATTGCAATGGATGTTCTCCTTCACCTACAGTCACAACTTTCTTAAGCTGAAAGAAAAAAACACAAAAAATTATGTTATTTTTTTCTGTAACCAACAATGGCCTTTGAAGGCAGTAATAAAAATAAACTGATTTTACATGTATCATATTGATTAAAGTGTATCATGCTAATGGGTGCAAAAAATCTACTGATCTAGGTGTTGGACAAGGCGTCCTTTGCCACTGATGTAATACAACGTAATAACATACAGCTGTAGTAAAAATGTGGAAATTACAGACACTTTTAAGAACGAAAAGCAAACTTTAAAACATGTAACATGTACCTCAGCCCGGAACTTCATTTCCTCTGTCATCTCACCTCTATTCATTCCTTCACCATTTCTTTCCTTTTAAAGTTAAAATATGAAATTGATGAAAAAGGCATGTTAAACACTTTGATTCTAGTCATGCTGATATGACTAAACAATGGCCTGCTCTCCAGTTGGCTTGATTAGCTTAATGGATAGAGCACTGTATCTGGTCATTGTAAAGGTCAGGGTTCGATTCCCCATCAAGGCTGAATTTTTATCAGGTTCTTTTTCTACCACTTAAGCTGTTTACTGAACTGGGAGGATTATTTCCACTTTAATATGTTTTATCTGCAGTTCAAAATATGAGTCACTTCATATATTTCCATTCACTGCAGGATTTGTTTGTTTTGCCATGAGTTGTTGTGCTGGTATCTAGTTCACTAATAGGCTGATTTAGCAACGGAACAGTAATGTCAGTTGACGACGGGAAAGTGCACGGAAAGGACTAAACAAGTCATGAATTCAGGTGCCCAATTTGCTGCTCTTCCATTGGTCAAGCCAGTTGTTTGATTTGCACGTGCCGCCGTCAACTCACGTTCCCGTTCCGCTGCTAAATGAGCCTAATGTCTTATGGACGGTGAGTGTAGATCAATATTGCTAATGTGTTCTTTAACCAGAAAGTGCTAGTCATGGTGCTTTGAGAAGGTCACCAAAATAACTTTAAAGCCTGGTTCAATGACCCAGGCATGAAAAACGGTAGCCTGTGTCACAGATGTAATTTAACCTCAGTTAGTAATGTCTGTGAAGCAGTACCAAGATTTTTGTTCTGAATGACAGGGTAATCTGCATTTAAGCCAGTTCTAGAGATTTTTGTGTTTATGCCGATGTGCTGGCAGTCTTCACTAGCACGAAAGCATCTCATAACAATATCATGTTGGGTTGCTATTGAAGACCAGCATTAAATAAACTAAAGTAGATGCAAAAGTTAAAGACACCAGATTCGTATCCAGTACAATACAGCACTCTTGTTGAGAATCAACTTGAGACTTGCGCATTGCTACTGTACTTTATCCACTAATTAAAACTTAAAACTACCGTATTTCTTGATTCACATTCTTCGTCTTCTTTGTCATCGCTGTTGTCATCATTATTTGAGTCATCAAACTTAAGCCTACGATTTAAAATAAAGAATCATGAGTTACAAAGTTAGAGAAAAACATTTTCATTGTCCAGAAATACGAAGTGAAAATCATGAAACTTACGCTTCGAATTTGTTTATTTTTGCCAATAAATATTTCTAAAAAGTGTCTTATAAAAATATATAACTATTTACAATGATATATAAAGCTTAAATATTTCTTCGAAGTGGCGAAAAGTCCGGGATTTTACGAAAATTTCTTGAATGTTTACACATGTTTTTTGCTTGCTTGAAACTTAGGTTGGAAATCACGCATACTCGTTAAGAAATAACAGTAGCATTGCGAGCTCATTATGCGTGACACATTCAAGACATCTTGTCACTATGGGGGGCCGTTTGTAAAAATATTATTTAGGGCAAATCCATGTTTTTTTTTCTCACTATTTGTAAATAATGGTAAGCCGTCGAAAATTTATTTATTTATAAATAAGGAACAGCTACTTACTTAATGATATGTAAATCGTTATTTCTTGTCATAGCTGATATCTATATAATACCAATCTGTAAAGAAATTATATATACATATTCATCAAACAAGTTTCAGGGGCACCTAACGGCAATTTTCGAGAAAATATCTGTTCGGAAGACGATTTGAGAACTAGAATTTTCGGAACATTTGTTGTAAAATTTCTTGCTTGCCTGCCTCTCCTAGGATTTTCGAACATCTACAAAATGGTATAATCACCCATTTTAAACGGATATTTACCTTAAAAGAGGCCACCTGGAATTTTCAGGAGCCTTTTCCTGGCTGAAATTTTCGAAAAGGTAAGTTTTGATCCCTATAATTTTCGGATCACTAGACTTTCAGCTAGGAATTCCGAACAGTTAAAAAGTTTTTAGGGGATAAAAATATGCCTATATCTAACGTTTAAATACTAAAATACGTTCAACAATGCTATGTTAAGTGGTTTTGAACTATATCCTCGTTTCTTTATTTATAAATCAGGCAGACAACTACTATCTATTATTTATAAATAATGAACTACACCTGCAAAGTAAATTTATTATTTGTAAATATTGAAGTCCACCTTTATGCTGGCAAATCCATTATTTATAAATAATGAAGTTAAACTGGATTGTGAATTCAGTATTTATAAATCACGAAGTTTCATCTCGCCGAGTGTAAATTCATTATTTGAAAATAATGAAGTTAACCACTGTGGTGGCAAATCCATTATTTCCAAATAATGAGGTTAACCTTCATGCTGGCAAATAATGGACTTCCCCTTCTTGTGTAATTTCATTATTTATAAATAATGAAGTTTGATCTCGCCGAGTGTAAATTTATTATTTGTAAAAAATGGATTTTGTCGTGTCGCTGGTCAATTAATTTATGACTCACCAGCGCGCCAAAACTGTAATTTATTCCATGGAAATGGCGGGAATTCTTAGCCTTCCGAGTCGAGTCCGGTGATGGCTGATCAAGACCTTACGCGCTCCCTCTCCGAGGCCGTTTCTCGAGCCGTCAGCGAGACAGTGAGTGCTGTTCATGCTCGGGCAAGGATCTAGCTTGAACTTCAGTCTTTTGAGATTGCTCTGAATGCGCGGGTTACGTCTAATTAATTTTATGCCGTTTTCTCAGAATTCCTAGCAAACCAACATGTCCCGGCACAAGTGACGGATACTTCAACGCCGACATCAACGATTCAACAGGTAAGTTCTGTTGCAAGAAATCTTTGTAAGGAATGGAATACAGATCATTATTTTAACAATGGACAAGACGCTACGGAGCGTACACTTCGGCGTCGTGGTTGTGAAACTTATTAATTGTAAATGGGGAGGAATAGTAAGAAATCAAATATGGTAAGAGTGAGGTCTTAATTTGTGCAATTATGGGAATTGTTAGGATATTCTGAAAAGAGCAACATCCAAGAGGCCTACTTGCCAAAAACTAGCATTTCGGGACAAATTGTCTCCGATATATTAGCCCAGTTATGCTCTGATGACTCCATACAAATCCTTCTAAAAAAACAATTCTCTATTTTTTTTAGTCACATCAGGCTTCAAAAATAGCATAGCAGTCTCATGTATTGATTAAGGATATGTAAGGCATGGGTAAGGAGTCAATTACGTTGAGCATGGAATTTGCTAAAACTCAAAGTCACGAGTTCGAATGTTTTGAGGATAATTATTCACTGACTATCAGCACGCAGGGATGTCGGATTAACACAAGGAAGTTTAACACCAAAGGAACATAGAGCACAGCCTTTATAGAGCTTTAAAACACAGCATCCGCCAACACAAAATTGACTTAAACTTTGAGTAAAACTAAACAGCCTCTACCAATAATAACAAACTCTGACTTGAACTTCAGATATCTTACGGCTTCCGCAAACTTGTAAGCACAGAACCTGAAAATCGACCTTCGTCACACTTGACTAAACACAGCAGTCCAGCTCGTGGGAAACAACTTAGTGAAGTGATATCACGAAGTAGTCCGGTCTCATTTCGTGAAATAGTTGAAGCAAGCCGAAAAGTCACGAACTTGCACGCCCAATGTTGTCCCGAAACTAGTGCATAATTTCATAACTATTTTTCATATCCCAAATTATCTTGGGTCGCAGTGTAGCGCAATCGGCTAATCCCTCAACTTAGAGTCTCCTCTGATCTGACGGGTCACACAGGTGAGTCGGTTCAAACCCCGGGAAAGCCAAAATAATAATTCTTTCTTCCTCGAAAAAGTTAAAGAATAAATCAAAGAAGTCGAAGTGATCTCGAGATATCTCGAACTAATTCGGCTCTCACTTCGTCAAATAGCCGAATAGAACCGAACACCTACAGACTTTGCTTGCTCAATCTTGTCAAAATACATTCCTGAGCGTCGCGAATCCTTTACTTCGCCCTCCGCCGAAGTAAAAATCATCACCATGTAAATTCTTGCAATAGACTATTCATTGTTGCTTAAAGGTCACCTCTGCTATTTAACCTGGCCTGCCGTCCGACGCAAACCGTTGCGTGACTCTTTTGCTTGTTGTACCGGCCTGATATTTAACGAATCAGGGTCGTGAGAAAACGTCTTCTTTGGTAAACAAGTAGCGAAATAAACGGTTTTGTCTTAAAACAGGGTTTGATAGAGTTTGAAGGCCTTGGCGGAATCGGCCGCGGTTAATCTTTCCTTGAGTACATCCTCCAGATCGATTTTGACCTTTTAATAGTCACCTCGGCTAATCTAACTCAAGCTCAAGCCAAGGTAATTTCTCATAGAGCATCTAGGATATTAGCCTTGCTTGAGTTTACAACAACACCACCTATAAAAATTCGTCCTTGTGTGATAACAACGGGATATTTTTTGCTAGATAAGGCCGCATGAGTACGGAAATACCGTAAAATCACCACTTCTTGAAAAGTGGCTTGAGGATATCTTGCTGTGTGTCACATGACATCACACCACATGACATCACATCACATAGTATTTTCAAGAACATTAACTATTCTTCGAAAAAAAAACCTACTATCGTGTACTTTTCTCCTCGGAGTTCATTTGCTTACATCAACGAAATGGGTCAACGACAGATGTAAGAAATTGATGCTATTTTCGTTATACAGTGGAACCTCGACATAGCGAACCTCTGTACAACGAAATCCTCGATATATTAAACGAACAATTTTATTTTCCCCATTAACAGAAAAACATATGAAAAAGAACGAAACATCGTTATTTGGTTATATCGAGGTTCCATTGTATATATATATTTTTTACTTCTTCTTGTAGCGAGCATATTAATTCACGTCAAAGAGAAATGAAGTGATATTCTTATTTTGTTTAGCACTCGACATTATTCATAAATAACTGAGAATCATGTCGTGTTACATTTTAATTTTTCTCTGCTGAATAAGTTTCAATGAATAAGTTTTAACTGGGCTGCAAAGGGGCTATTTT